GTAGAGAGATTCTCTGGTTTGAGCTAAGTTGGTTTGGTTTTGGGGTTTGGGGCACCATTTGGCACAGGTTGTGGTGGTGGGGGGTCACATCTATGGTTCTGCAGCAGTGCTGGCTGGGCCTGGCTAGTCTGGCAATGCAAAGTTTGCAAACATGCTCCCCCAAACAGGTTGCCCCCATCCCTCCATTGTTCTCTATGGTGGGGAAAAAAGTAACTTTTTTCCCCACCATAGAGAACAATGGAGGGATGGGGCAACCTGTTTGGGGGCCCATAAAATTGGACCCCCTGGTCCAATCTTCTTGAAACTTGGTGGGTATGTCGGGGAGAGGTTCCAGTAACCACCCTCCACGTTTGGAGCCTCTCCCTCAACCCCCCTCCTAGAGGTATGCAAAAAGGGGGGGAAGGTAAAAATCAGATTTAAATGTATTGGACCCGAATTTTTTCGCCATTCCAAGATAAACACCTAGCATACCCCCCAAGGTCCATAGGATACAATGTTGCCGAATTGCCGCCGAATTTCGGCGGCAAACCGGCAATAAACAGTGCAGCAAGCTGATCTGGGGGTGACCTGTTTGGGGCCCCATAGAATTGGGCCCCCTGGTCCAATCTTCTTGAAACTTTCTGGGTATGTTGGAGAGAGGTTCCAGTAAGCTCCCTCCATGTTTGGAGCCTCTACGCCAAACCCCCTCCCCCCCAGCCCCCAGGAAAGTTTCAAGAGGATTTTTGCAATTGACTTCAATCGCCCCATTGGTTATAATGGACCCGAATTTTTCAGGTTTTCCGAATCTTTTCGGATATCTATGCTTTACCGGTATAGATATTCGGGTTTTTTCGGGTTTCCCAAAAAAAAATTCGGGTCCAATAAACCCGAATCCGAATTTTATTTTTTGCACAGCCCTAAACCCCTGGGGGTAGCAGGAGTGTTCTGGAACTGGAATGAGAGGCCCTTGAAGTGAAATGACAGCTCCAGGGTGGAGCAGGAGTGTTCAGGGACTGGAATGAGAGACCACAGAGTGGGACAGCCACAGGTGGAGCAGGACTGTTCTGGGACTTGAATGAGAGACCACGGAGTGGAATGACAACCCCAGGGTGTAGCAAGAGTGTTCTGGAACTGGGACGAGAGTCCCCAGAGTGGATTGAGATGGAGCTGATCTGGTGATAGCTACACACGTTCCAGAAATATTTAAATGTGAGACCACGGAAGGGAATGACAGCCCCAGGGTGTAGCAGCAGTGTTCTGTGACTAGAATGACAGGTCCCAGAGTAGAATGACAGCCCCTGGAAGTTTCAGGAGTGGTCTTGGACTGGAATAACTACCCTAGGGCGTGGTAGGAGTGTTCTGGAACTGGAATGGGAGATCACTAAGTGGAATGATAGTCCCTGCAAGTAGCGGGGATATTCTGGGACTGCAATGACAAGCCCCAGAGTCGAATGACAGCCCCTAGATATGGCAGGAGTGTTCTGGAACTGGAATGGGATACCACTAAGTGGAATGACAGCTCCTGGGAGTATTCTGGGAATGGAATGACAGGCTCCAAGGTGTATTGACAGTCCCTGGAAGTAGCAGGAGGCTTATGGGCCTGGAATGACAGGCCCCAGAGTGGAAGGAGAGACCCTGGGTGTAGAGAAAGGTCTGTGCGACTGGATTTGCAAACTGTAGAGTGAAATAGTTTGCATTTAAATATTTCTGGAATGTGTGTAGCTATCACCAGATTAGCTCCATCTCATTCCATTCCCAGAGAAGTCTATTTTGGCCCAGAGACTCTAATGGAAAATCCATTTCACGTTTTTATTGCAACTCTACTTGTACTGTAATGTATTTCAATGGAGGCCATGCAAGTCAATTGGCATTCTTGGCTCCCATTATTTCCAATGGGCAATCCTGTCCTTCCTTTTAGTACATCCCCTCGGCAGGACCTCCTTCGCCAGCCCGCCTTCTGGCCTCTTCCTGGTGGGACAAGCTGCTGCTGAATAATGGCCTCCATTAAGGCTCTAGACTTGATCTTTCCTGCTTACACTGGTTAGATTTAGGAAATGTGGAAATGGAGTTATTGGAATTTCAAGAAAGCTCTATCTGGAAAGAATAAATTCAATGACCTGTGTGAAACACTTGAGAAGATAGAAGGATTGCTTTCCTTACTTTGTTTGGATCATCTTATGCTTGTGAGCAGCTGTTTTCAGCTTTGAATTATATCAAATCTGACACTAGAAACAGACTAACAGATGACTTGAGTGCTGCCTGTGCTGCTCTCAAACTTACAAAGTATGAGCCAAGGTTAGACAAATTATCAGCATGCATACAACAGCAAAAATCACATTAATTGTTCAAAAGCATGCCAAATGCAAACTTTTACCTTTCAATAAAAAGTTGTTTATATCATTGAAAGCTCTGTTATTGTATTTTTCTTTTAAGACAAAAGATGTTAATGTATGAGTTGTTTTTTCTAAACTAAAACCTCAGTATTCAGGTTAAATTGCCATGTTGGCACTTTGCAGTAAATAAGTGGGTTTTAGGTTGCAGTTTGGGCACTCGGTCTTTAAAAGGTTCACCATCACTGGCCTAAGTCAACCAGCCATGGCTTGTAGCGCCAGGCCTAGATCTTCTGGATTGGATTCAGACCGGCCATCCAACAACATATAGTGTGCGTTCAGATGGGGGCTTTCTGCCGGCATAAACTGCACCGGTTGGAACCGGTGCAGTTTATGCCGGAAGAAACGTGATCACACTTACCTCCATTTTGCGGTTCCCATCGTTGTACGCCGGTCACACGCTGCGGGCGTCGGTGTGTGTTTTTTTTTTAAACACAGTTTGAGCATGCGCATAGGCAGCCATTCACAGAATGGCGATCTTTGTGCATGCTCAACCCCCCCCCATTACATTTAAACTTTAAAGGTAAGGACTTACCTTTAAAGTTTAAAGCCCAGACTGGCCTCCCTTAAGTCCCGGACTCCTCCGGGTAGTTAAAGTAAGGGTTTTTGTTTTTTTTAAACAAACGCTTAGGGCGAAGCTTCGCCCAAGCGCATATTGCTCTGTTTTTTTTAAAAAATGGCGGGGGGGAAACGGAATCCTCAGGCTTCCGACGGAAATGGCTAGGCACCAGTGGAGAGCGATCAGACGCCGGGGTACATCGGAAGCAACCGTTGCACTCAGTATACCACCACTTGGGACCTAGTAGCAGAGTGCAACGGTGTAAAGGGCTTTACACCGGTTAGGGACAGGAGGTAGATGTTCCCTGTCTGAACACCGGTGAGTACAGCGATTGCAACCGGCACCTAAAGCCCCCGTCTGAACGCACCCAGAGCCGGGTGTCATCCACATATTGGTGACAACCCAGCCCATGCCTCAGGGCAATCTGGGCAAGAGGGCGCATATAAATGTTAAAAAGCATCGGGGACAGGACTACCCCTTGAGGCATTCCACATTCCAGTGGGTGCCTTCAGGATAGCTGATCCCACAGCGCCACTCTCTGTCCCCGATCTTGGAGAAAGGAAACAAGCCACTGCAAAGCTAGTCCCTGGACTCCAATGTCAGCGAGGCGGTGGGTCAGTAGCTGATGGTCGACTGTATCAAACGCGGCCAACAGATCTAACAACAGCAGCACTGCCATGTCCCAATACCCCCAAGCTGTAGGGCAATCTCTTCCAGTGTGTGGGTCCTGAGGACCTGTAGGAGTTCTGAACAGAGCACTACTAAGTAAATGCTACAGGTTATATTCTCCCCTTTGCTCATTGTGCCATCATCAAAAGCACAACAAGGGCTGAAGAGGCTCAGGAAGCTAAGTCCCACTCCATTTACGGCATGCCTCTATTGCCCAATTCTTCTGTGTCAGTGCAGAGCTTACACAATGCTAGCAATTTATTTCCAGATATGCTGATTGCGTAGTTGTCATCCTAAACCCTCACGACAGGATTTACAAGTGGATGAACAGTGCCATCCTAGGAAGAATTGGTGGAAAGTGCTGTCAAGTTACAGCTGACTTATGGGAACCCCTTACCCTTAGTGTTTTCAAGGCAGGAGGCAAACAGAGGTGGTTCATCATTGTCTGCCTCTGCATAGCAACTCTAGACTTCCTTGGTGGTCTCCTGCATAAGTACTAACCAGGGCTGACCCTGCTTAGCTTCTGAGATCTGACAAGATCAGGGCAGCCTAAGCCATCCAGGCCTGGGCAGGCAGAATTACACCCTTCTAAATTTAAAAGCTCAGAAGTCAAGGTGTTTAGAAGGATATAACTCTGTTTAGGATGGCACTGAAAGTTATGTATCTTGTCCACATTTGATTTCTAATTTCCTGTGAGGCTGGAAGCAGCCAAGGAAAAAGTTTGAGTGTGCTGCAGCAGAACATGGGGGGTCCTAAATGACCAAAGGTCATGGGTGTGCTGAGAAAAGTCACCAAGTGACTTACACCAGTCAATAAAAAAAGAATTCTACCATTTCAATATTCAATTATGGGTGAACCAGTTATTCTAAGCTTCACTGGTGGATGTAAATACATAATTCAGAGTTAGCACTAACCCATATGACTGTACTCTGGTGCAAGCATTGCAAGGGGACTCTCCCTCTGATGCATTCATGTGTAAACAATACCGCAGAAACTCCAAGCAACCTATAAAGGGGAGTAATTTTTGTAACATGTGGGCAGTCAGTCTAAAAAACATTAGCTACAACAGACCCACTCTCCTTTTTTTTCAATTTAGGCAGCCACGCTGTGGCAGTTTTAAATATACAGCGTTCATACATAAGGCACGAAGACCAAATACTGCGTGTAATTTGGGAGAGCAGTCTTACAAGATGCCTTGCAGCAGTGATGAACGGAGTGCAGAATAAAGCCCACTCTGCTATCCCTACCCTTGCTCTTTTCTTCGAGGTGTTCTCACGCCTTCTGGGCTCTGCCCAGAGAGGAGCGCGCCAGTGCCAGGACGGGCGGCGGGGGCGCTCGGTGGACCACGCTGCCGTGACTCCTCCTAGAGGTGGTATGTGGAGAAGGAGCAGCCCCTCCCTCCCTCCCCGTTTCCTACCACCGGCCTCCAGAGCTGCCGCCATTGAAACCATACAATACAAGCGACGAAAGGGAAGAAGGGCGCACCGCACGGGCACTGCGGCACTGAAGCGGCAGGCGGAGACGGCGGTTAGCCGGACAGGTGACCCGGAGGGGGAAGGACGACTCCGCCGAAGGAACCCAAGTAGACAACAGCCGGGTGGGGCGTTGGGCAGAGGAGGCCTTTCGTTTCCCGCCCCCTCCCCAAAACGGCGGAGGCGGCTCGCATTACGGGGAGCGCCCCCCCCCCTCTCACCGGTTGCTCTTCACGCAGCAGTGTGGGGAGAGGCACACCGTCCTCCGGCAGAGGAGGCGGGAGTGGGGGCGGGGAGGGGGAAAGGGCAGGGGAGTCTCTGAAGGGCGCGGGAGGGGGGTGCGGCGGCGGCGCCGCCTCAGAGAAGAAGCTAACCCCGCTGGGGCTTCTTTGGCGTCCTCCCTCACAGCACCGGAAAGGTCAAGATGGTGCCGCTTAAGGGGGACCGCCACTCGCGATACTCCGTCTCTTCAGCCTCTCGAGGGGGCGTGCTCTCTGCTCACCGTGCGCCTCTCCCCGGGGGACTGAAGTGAGGAGAGGGCGCTCCACAGCGTTTCCCTTTCCGGGGTGCCTTTTCCGTTAGAACCGGTTAACGGTACACAGCCGGAACTAGAGCGGGGGAGGGGGGGTGTCAAGGCAACCGTCAAGAGGGCAGTTTTTAAAAAACAGAAGGGGAGCCGGGGAAGAAAATGGGAATTGCGCGGGAAATGAGCGGCGTTAGGTTTCCCATAGTCCTACGCGCGTACGTCGCTTGGCTTCCACACTAGCGCGCGCTTCTCGCCACATCTATCCACCCCCCCACGCCAGAAATACTACCCGTTTTAAAAGCTGCTTGTTGCCCCTCTTGAGTATCAAGCCGGTGAGGCGGCTGCCCTGTTTCCTCAGTCTTGGAGGCTGTATCGCTTCACATACGTGCTCCTTATGCAAATAGGCCTAACGCTTTGGAGGTTTGAATTTGAAAAAAAAAGCAGCAGTAAGGCTCCCCGCCGGAATGAACAACCAATCCCGTTAAAGGAATAGGTTTTCATAAAGCAGAGCTAAAGACGCTGCCCCCTCGGTCTGCCGAGAGAACTTTACGGAGTAAACCGTCACAAAGCAGGCGCATTGACGTAGTACTCCGTAAATATATGAAGCCGTTGTGTGTGTTTGTTTTCAATAGCGAGCCTGGTGCTAAGTTTAGACAAATGTTTTCGGAGTCACAAGCCCAAACTGATCGTTCAGGTATTTCCCACCTCAAGTGGGAAGGGCTGTGGCTCAGGTAGAGCATCTGCTTGGCATACTCCTCCAGGTGCAATCTCCATTAAAAATAGGATCTGGTACTAGTAGGTGATGTGATTGAAAAACCTCTGCCCGGGAATCTGGAAAGCTGCTGCCGTTCAGAGTGGACAATCCTGACCTTCATAGGCCAGTAGTCTGACTTAGCACAAGACAGTTTCATGTGTCCCAAATACCAGTGACCACAGTGGAAATGGTGAAATAACTACTAGGCCTGGGCAAGTCTGTGTGATTGTATTTTAGGACTGTGAATTAGAACTAGTTTTCATTGCAATGGTCAGCGTGTGTCAGACTGCAAGTAAAGTACACTTGCATGTCTGAATAGTCTTCCCTATTCCTTTGTGAGGGGGAGAAGGCTAGAGGTTAATGTTTCTCCCAAACATTTATTTGTTTATATAAGTGGCTTTTATTTGCATTGAGCAGCATTCACCTGTGGTCTAAAGTGACACATTCTAGACACATATTTACCCTCTGTAGGCCTTAAAGCTGGACCTCGGAGGCAGTTTTTCACCTGAGCACAAGTACTAGTACCATACAATTTCAAATTATCCTTTCCTCTAGAGTTACTATCTTTGCCTCTTTTTCTTCTTCTTTCCTGACTGAAGTCCTGTGCTTTAAAGTCCAACAGGAGTAAATTAAACTTGTAGTTTTCTACATTCTGGGAAAGCTGTATCTATTTGAATTTTAAAAGTAACAAAACATTTCTCTCTTGTTTTGGAAATATTTTATTGTATTTTACAATATAACAACAGATAAAAGAAAAAGGTGGCTACTCTTCTTTTATACATATAGATAAGATTACACACAGACAAAACAAAAACAAATACACAAACTGTCCTATAACACCATATATATTGCACTGCCTACCGGCAAGATTTTAGGTTGTTTCTCCACACTCACAAGCTTTTTGTGTATTTTTAGTATACATCACCTTTTAACAAACTTGCTTAACAAAACTTTCTGAAAAATGTCTAGTAAAGAGGATACAGAATTTTCCCACATGGACCTGCTGTTGCCCTATCAACCTCACAGTTCTTTGATGGGCAGAGCCATTCATATTTACAAGAATAAATGTATGGTCGTAAGTCATGTTTGCACAGTTGCATTCAGCTGTACTTTTAGGCACTGTGAAGCAGAAGGAATTTAGACAGCAATCTATGAAGCACCTGCTAAAGACAATCTTATCCCCCTCTTTAGTTCAATTTATACCTTGCAGTGCCACTAAAAATGGGAGGGGTGTACATTTCAAAGAAAATTGGGTGTTCATACTTCCTCTTAAATATATCGTTGATATTCTTTGTTGCATCATGAACTTCACATTGTAGTTCAACTGCTACTATGCACTTTGTTTTATTGCAATATCAGTCATGTTGCCCAGGAACATTTATGTTTTTAAAATGATACTTATATTCTGTTGAACAGAGTGCCTGTTATATTTCGCACCCAACATCAATTCCTGCTTTCGCTTTTTATAGATTTTGTGCTAGGGCAAGCAAATAAGAATAATCTGCTAGAAGACTGAAAAACAAAAAAGCAACATGTCGGCCAGAGGTGGAAAGAAAAAAATGACCAAAATGTCACGCTCCAGCAGAGCAGGTGTTATTTTTCCAGTGGGGAGAATGATGCGATACTTGAAGAAAGGAACATACAAGTATCGGATAGGAGTGGGAGCTCCTGTCTACATGGCAGCTGTCATAGAATACTTAGCAGGTAATGACGTTTTTTAAATTAAAATGCTGAACTAGAAAGGCAAAGTGCTTGCACAGCACCTTAAAAATTCAGGGATGGTAATGGTCCAAGAATTCATAAAAATCACCTACTGGTCAGTGTTTTGAAGTCAGGCACGTACAAAAGCAGAGGCAAGTGTGAACAGTGTAAATCCAATCCAGTCTGTTTTATTACAAGCAAGAAAATTTCTCTTTTAGCTCTGAAGATAAAGATAAGCTTCAGTAGAGATTCCATCCAGCATTTATTACCCAGAAAAAAGGGCCCAGAAATGTTGGACTCATGTCCATAATAGGATATGAGCCAGTTTATATATAGTCACGGTTTATATACAGCCACAACATTGTACATGTTGAGTCATGGGTGCAGTGATATGGGTTTTCCAGAAAAATAAAAATAGAAATTTTTTTCTAGAACATAATATGGTGCCATGAATAGAGCATTTGAATTATATTTAGTATACAAAAGAACATACTCTCTCAAGTCAATTTTATTTTCCAATAGCAACAAATACTCAAACTAAAATACTTAAGAGAAAAAAAGTGTGATTTCAATGTTATATTCAAATGAAGTCAAAACTGTATGGAAATTACTGTTGCTCTTCATAGCAACACTTGCATTTAGAGATATGAGTGCCTGGAAAAAATCATGGAAAAAAGTTTTCCCCCAAACTGATTATTGTTTTCCAAAGGAAAAGTTGAAAATTTTGAGTAGCACTTGGGGGTGGGTGGGGAGAGCTATGAAATATTTTCTCTTTTGAAATGAGTGAAATACTTTTTAGGGCAAGGTTTTAGTTACTCAGAATGAATAGTTTTTGTCTGTAAGACAATTTAGATCATTCCTATATGTATGATAGACAATTACAATATATTTTCAAGTACATAGTTGTTTAACTGATTAATTTTGGCAACAAGATCCTATGATTTCAACAGATGAATATCAGTTTATGAATTCATAATACTATAGAAAAGTTCAGTGTTACGAAGTTTAAATTGATATTCAGATATGCTAACCCTATTATAACCATATCAGACTATTTCTGAACAGATAATGCATTTTCTTTAATACAAAATATGTGTGCTCTGTTTTCAACTTGACTTTTTCCCACCTCTTTGATGACAAAGAATATGCTAAGATGGCAGCAGTTTGTGTCTTCTCTTTAATATTGGGAATACTCTCAGTTTTTTTCTAGTAGAAAACCGAGGCATTTATGCTTTCAACTTTCATAAAAATGCAAAATAGTAAAATGTTTATGATAATAATGTTACAATAATGGGTTTTATGTTGTTAAAATAGGCTTGGGAAGAAAGTATAGCATCCCCTTGCCCAATTTTTGCTTTATTCAGGGGGCTTCGGGCTTCTCTGTTTGTATTAATTGTTAGCTCCATATTGGACTGGAGATTACAATATCCCTTCTACCATGTGACATGAAACATACAAGAATTTAGCTTTAGTTTGGATTTGACCTATACAACAATCAGGTTAATTCATAACCTGATTATTATTTGTGGTTCCCCCACACCACCCTGTTTAGAATCAATTAAAAAATACATATACTCTCTCAAATAATTCCTAGGAATAGTCACCTGCAAAACTTTAACTCGAACTTTGAAACCACCAACTTTGTCTTATATTGTGTATCAGCACTGGTATCCATTCATTATTATTAATTTAATGAAACAATGAGTTTTTAACCCCCCCCCCCCAAATAAAGCACTGTAAAATGTGTTGGCCCACATCTATACATAGGTGCAACTATGGACCTCAGATTATTATTGTTTTGTTTATTATGTATTTAGAAAAATTGTATTAACATTAACAAATATTACTTAAAATTTGGCATTAAAGTACCCATCTCAACGTAGTCAAATAAAAGCAGACCACTGACAGCTTAAAATAACAAATTCCAGACTAAAATAGTATTTTTTTAAAACAGCCTTTTAATTAAAAGCGTGGGTGGGCAGACACATTTTGGCCTGGCACCTAAAAGAAAGCAACACAGGTGCTAGGGGGGCCATGTGGGAAAGGATATTCTATAAATGAGGTGCCATTATTGAAAAACCCTATTTCTGGTTGCTGCTCACCTCGCCTCTGAAAGCAAGGACACAAAGAGCAAGGCTTGTGGAGCATAGCTTAACTAGCAGGCTAGACAATATGGGAGGAGGCATTCCTTCAAGAACCCTGGCCATTTAGGCCATAAAGTAAGAACCAGTTTGAATTTTGCCCAGAAACAAATGGGCAATCAGCACAGATTTCTCAGTGTTGCAGTGATATTATCCCTGTATCCCATGACAATAGCCTGGCTGCTGCAATTTTGGACATGCTTTTGTTTCTGGACCATTTTCAAAGGCAGCTCCCTCACAAAGCACAAAGTAGTCTAACCTGGATGTAAGCAGAGCATGGATCACCATGGCCAGCTCACACTTTTGGAGGAATGGTCATAGGTGGTATATGAGCCAAAGCTGATAAAAGGCATTATGAGTCACAGAGGAGATCTGGGCCTCCAACTGTAGGCCAGATTCCAGCAGCATTCTCTAGCTTTGAGCCTATTCCTGGAGGAATTTTATCATTGACCAGCAGTATTTCAGTTGGATGTGGTTTGAGCTTCAGTTTATTGGCCCTCATTCATACTATTGCCATCTTCATTAATGTCAGGACTTCCACAGATCCGCTTGACTCACCTGTTCAGGAGAAGTAGAGCTTGTTGTCATCTACATATTGGTGACACCTTACTCTAACCCCCTGATTATCACTTCCCATGGTTTCATGTAGACGTTAAACAAAATGGGGGACAACCCCCCCCCCCCCACCATGACCCTGCAACATAAATGCCATGAGGCCAAGCAGCAGTCCCCTAGTACAGCCTTCTGGAACTAGCCAGTCAAGTAAGAGTGGAACCACCAAAGCACAATACCCCCTACTCCCAGCCTTTCCAGAAGGATGCCATGATTGATGGTATCAGACTCTGCAGAGGTCCAAAAGAATCAACAGGGATGCACTCCTTCTGTCAGTCTCCCGAAGAAGATTATCCACCAGTGCAACCAAGGCTGCTTCTGTCCCCAAATCTAGGCCTGAATCAGGATTGAAATTGGTCTAGAATAATCCATCTACTGAAGTCACCACCTGCTCAAGCACTTGGCCAAAAATGGAATGTTAGCCATTGGGCAGTATTTGGTTAGTCAGTGGGTTCCAGGGATGCCTTCTTCAGGAGGGGTCACATGGCTGCCTCTTTCAAGGAAGCTGGAACTACACCCTCATGCAGAGAGGTGTTTATTTCCTCTAGCACTCGCTCAAGCATCCCAGTCTGGCTGAGTACCAACAGCCATAAAGGGCAAGTGTCAAATCTAGATGTGGTTGGGCACACACTTCTGAGCAGCTTGTCCACTTCATCAAGCCTCACCAACTGATAGTCAGTCATACTACTAGGAACAGACTGCACTCCAATGGCATTTGGAGACTGAACTACACCAACTGTAGAATCTAAATCACAGCAGATGCAAGCATTTTATCTGCATTGCAAAAGCATCACAGCAGGCCTGTATGTTTTCTGAGTCTACATTTTAAGGAGCACAGGATAAGAGCCCCTTCAAAATCCAGAAAAGCTCAGTTGGATGGCATTGCATGGATGCAGTGGTGGCAGAGAAGACAGTGAACTTTGTTGTCATCACCACCACAGAGTAGGCATGATAATGTGCTTTCAACTGCTCGGTCACATTCACTATGAGTTTTCCTTCACTTGCACTCACTTAATCGCTTTATTGCTCTAAGCTTCTCAGTAAACTAGGGAGTATTTCAAGCTGTGTAGGAGGGTAGAGGGCACTTAAGAGCAATCATGTTCATAGCCAGAGTCATTTCCGTATTCTACAGATTGGGCATCCCTGTGTGTGTGTGTGTGTGAGTGAGAGAGAGAGTGTTAAGTGCTGTCAAGTCGCTTCTGAATTGACTGGAAAATCCCCAAGAGATGTCAGGAAACCATTTGGATTCATCAGCCTCCTGGGATGGACCATCCTAACTGGTCCCTGCTCTTGCAGAGGTTCTGAGTGTCTGTGACTTGAAATCTTACCAGATAATGGTCAGTCCATGACAAGGGCAATGTAGAAAATTCCTCCATTACCAAGCCATGGATTTTGTCTCCAGAGAAAAACTGATCAAGTATATGTGCCCCTATATGATTAGGGACTAGAATGTTGTGGGAGGGTCCTGTGGTTGTCATGGCAGAAAAGTCATGAGCCTCAGCAGTCAGGTCAGCTTCCGCATGGTCATTGAAATCCCCAAGCACAGCAGTCCTCGGGATCTTCAATGTCAAATCCAAGATTGCCTCAGTCAGCTCAGGCAGGGAGACAGATGAGCAGTGGGATAGGTGGCACACCAACAAAACCCTATTCTGTCCCGAGTTCCCAGCATCAGATACATATGATCAAAATTAGGTCTCTGGGTAACAGAACACCTGGTGAGTGCCCGAGACACCTAATAGACCACAGACACTCCCTGTCCCCACCCACCAAGCCTAGGCTGATGCTGTATCAGAAACCCAGGGGGGCAGGATTGGGAGAGACTACCCACTTCTCTGTGATGCATGCGAGCCCAGCCTCCTGATTCACTATTCAATTCTGGATGTGAAATGATTTATTTTGAACTGATCTTCTCTGCAGCAGCAGCACTTTCAGACCTGAGTGGTTAGCAAGTGGTTACCAGCATCCTCGAGGTAGAGAAAGAGACCAGAAAGAGGAATGGTCATTAACTGATGATCTCTGCTGACCCATTCTTCCACCACCACATCTCCCTCTACTCACTAGTACCTTGAAAGTAGTACCACTTCCCCCTCCCCGATGCAGATTCACCCAGACACATGATACAAAATCTCATCACCAGGCACTACTGGTGGGTCATGGGGAAATACAGAGTCTGTCTGCTGCTTTCTGTTGCAGACTCCCTTCTGTTACAGAATGATATAATCTGGAATTCTTCTGTCATGGTTCCCAAGGGTCACCCAAGCACGAGCCATGGTCCTTTAGCTCTTACGCCAAGGTTTATGCCTCTGACAAGAGCTGGACTTTAAGATGGACCTCTGTGGCCAGTTACCTGCAGTATAGGTGGGGCATCAGAGTTAGCTGCAGAGTGGTAGTCAGCTGATTAGCTGGCTCTAGTCCAGTTCTCAAATGCCTTCCCCTACTGTACATAACACCTTTAAAGAGAACCAAGGCATATTGTAAGTACCTTTGAAATTAAGCCATGCTTGTGCATGCAGGCCACCCCTTTTTCATGGTGAATGGATCATATGTTGAGCAGGAGACAGCCTTCCCACAGTGTTTGACCTCATAAAATCAATATTTTATTCAAGCTGCTAGAAAGCCTTTTGACATAAATTTCCTTTAATGTTCTTCTAAATTTTTCAAAAATTAACTCGGATGCCTCAGAATAGCATAAAAAGGAAAAACAAAATGTAAAGAAGGTAGGAAGATGAGGGGAAAAGCTGTACCTTTATAGGACTGGGAAAGTTCTGCATATGTCAGCAATCAATCATTACAGTTAGTGGTCTTGAAAACCTGTTCAGGTGTACCCAAGGCTCGATGGCAGCATACATTCAGACATTTATTTCCGTTTCTGCAGGGATATGATACCTTAAGATTTGCTGATATATAATAATTATATCATGTCGCCCTGACCTGTATAGCCCAGGCAAGCCCGATCTCGTCAGATCTTGGAAGCTAAGCAGGGTCGACTCTGACAAGTTCTTGGATGGGAGACCTCCTTGGAATACCAGCAGTCAGGAGGCAGGGGCAGGCCTTATTCAGCCACCTCTCTGAATATCCCCCAGGCCCCCAGTAGGGATCAGTCACCAGAGGTCCCCATGGCTTCCAGGTGCACACACAGTCACCAGAGGTCACAATGACTTCAAGGTGCGCACACACACTCACACCTGCACATGTGGGGGGGGGGAGATTTGCTGATGTCCTCAGGAAATTTTATTCCAGTGCATAAGAGATTTTTGGTAGAACGTTGTCCTATGGACATATTAAGCTGGGTTTTTTAAAGCATTGTAATATATAATTAATATATTATTGTGCTTAACATAGTTTTTGAATAATATGACACTCAGGCTTGATCTTAGTTGACCAGTCATTTTATCACACTCAGGATATGGTGGAGGGACTCTTTTTCCATTTAGGGTTGCCAACCTCCAGGTAGCACCTAGAGATCTCCCACTACTAAAATTGATCTCTAGACGACCAAGATCAGTTCCCCCTGGAGAAAATAGTGGCTTTGAAGGGTGGATTCTATCGCATTATATCCTCCCCAGGCTTCACGACTTAAAATCTCCAGGTATTTCCCAATCCAGAACTGACAGCCCTATTTCCAGTGCCTTCAGAAGTGAGGCTGGAGAGTATGAGGAGCAGGACCTTTTCAGCAGGGGCACTGGTTCAGTAGAGTTTTTGTTACCTGTGAAGGTTCACCTGTTCCACTGTTCATGGCTTTTAGAGAGATCAGTAGACTTTTTTCTAACTACCAGTCTGCCTGTTTTTAATCCATATTTTGTTTTCTACTTTTTGCTGCTTCTCAGACATTTTATTGTTTTAACTTAGGAATGTGAAACAGTCTCAGGAATATGTATACTGCTAACATGGATCACCTTATGATGCTGTTGATCTAATTTGAATATAGGACAGTGTATATTCTTGGACTTGGTTACTCTCGTAAAGGAGATCTTGGCCTGAAATCATACATAATACATTTCTTGTTACTGAGTCGTATTTCATTGTATTTGTAGCTGAAATATTGGAATTGGCCGGTAATGCAGCGAGGGATAACAAAAAGGGAAGAATTGCCCCAAGACACATTCTTCTGGCAGTCGCAAATGATGAGGAGTTGAACCAGGTGTGCTTTCCAGATGCAGCAGTTGTCTTTTTTGGATTATGTGCTTCTTTCTGCAGGCCAATAGGCTGGTTTTTATGGTTACTTATGAGGAGATGCTGTTCATTGCCATAAGGGAAGAAACGGTGAAAACTGAAGCCCAAAAAACAATATTAGAACATTTGTAAACCATGGTTTGTTTTCATCTTGTTAAGACTTTGCTAAATGAGGTATTCGTGGCTTGCAATCATCCAGTTTGTAATCTGTGTCTTATTCAAAGAGATTTTAGTTGTCAACTCTCAACAGACGGAGAGAAATATAATAGCTAAGCATGGTTGTGCTCAGACTCAATTTGTAATAACAAACTGCACTGTAATAAACAATGTAATGCAGTAGATTAAATGATGATGCTGTAGGCAAGAATATTGGAACAAATGTATAGGATACTTGTATCAGTAACTCGAGCCATAGTTTGTGCTTTTCCTTCAGCATTTGAATAGGGAAGTATTACTGTTAATTTAATTGGTTTTTAAAAAATGAACATAGACATATTTCTCTTCTGAAAAAGCCTCTCTTGCGGTCTGTAGATTATTTTTTGAATAATTTCTTCAAGTGCAGAGGAATTATTTCTGTAAGAGTTAAATATAAAGACGAGAATAAAATGTATTGTTTATGTTTGTATTCCACCCTTCCTTCAAGGACCTCCAGGCAGCATATGTCTGTTATCCCTTTTTGTACAGTGAATTTTTTATACAGGCACATCAAGGCTCTTCACCTATGATCCACCCCACCACAACAACTTCACTCATCTGAGCAGGGCCTTCTGCAGTGGCCATCCTGCAAATGGGCAAGATCAGCGACTGCCCATGCATGTGCCTTCTCTGTAGTGACCTCTACCCTGTGGAATGGCCTGCCTGAGGACATCAGGAGGGCTCCCATGCTCCTGGCATTTCACAAACTGTGTAAAACAGAATTATTCAGGAGGGCATTTTTATAAAGGAAATAAGACTACTACTTATGATTTGCTCAGATGATAGCCTTGTTTTAAATTTCTGCAATTCTAGTCTTATTCGTTACTTATGAGATATCATCCTACTGACTGCATTGATTTACATTATGTAATCCGCCTTGATTCTCAGTGAGAAAGGCAGACTATAAATCATGTAAATAAATAAAAATGTCAGTCTAAATGAATGACCTCAAGAGATCCCGTGTTCACATATGTCCTTCTCTTATATATTGCCTCTTTCTGCAGTTGTTAAAAGGAGTGACCATTGCAAGTGGAGGTGTTCTGCCTAGAATTCACCCTGAGCTTCTTGCCAAAAAACGAGGCATCAAAAGTAAATCTGATACTATCCTTTCACCTTCCCCAGAGAAGAGAGGGAGGAAATCTTTGGGAGGGATCAAGAAGAGTGGAAAGAAGGCAAAGGCATCTAAAGCCCGGACACCCAAAAAGGTAAACAGAGCTCAGATTTACTCTGCCTTTGTGGGAAATAAGCTTTCCCTCTTAAAACCAATGTACACTGTTCACTTTTGTATTTTCTTCTAATAGTTTTGTTTGTTTGTTAGAGGTCAATTCACTTTGGATGTTATAATCATTTCATTACAAATGAGTCCTGCATAATGTTATTATTAGCAGGCATAGGGTTCCCAAGTCGGACCAGCCGCAACCCCATCACCCCTGCCCAAGAGGCTCGTTCCCTGCTGCCGGCGGATTGGGCCCCGGGGGGAACCCCACCCCCAAAGCACGTAACATGCACATCACCCGGAAGTGACGCGACCATGCTGGGCACACTGGGGGCGGGGCCATGACCATCCAAGGGAAAACCATAAACCAAAAACTGGGGACTTGGCAAGCCTAAGCAGGCAAGATACTCTGTACAAGACCAAACCAGAACTTCTTGCAAGATATCAGTTCCTCTTCAGCTTAATTCAAATGAGCCACCCAAGGTTTATTTCAGCTGCCGTAATACTCAGCAGAAAAACTGAAATCCAGTATGACCGTACCTGCAGTATAAAAGAGAATTCTACACTTTGGCAATTAAAAAAATTATTTTAGAAACTAGTCCCCACTGATTTCAACAGACCTTTTTTCCAAGTAGTTATACTTATTACAGCCTTAGTTTTTAACATAGATTTAAATAACTGAATTAATTGATTCCACCTTCAACATATGTGTGTGAAGTGTCATCAAGTCACAACTGATTTGTGGTGACTCCATAGAGCTGTCAAGGCAAAAGATGGACAGAGGTGGTTTTGCCATTGCCTGCCTCTGCATAGCAACCCTGGACTTCCTTGGTGGTCATCCATCCAAGTACTAAACGGGGCTGAACCAGCTTAGCTTTTGAGGTCAGGCCAGCCTGGGCCATCCAGATCAGGGCCTTAAATATGTGCTTTAGCTTATTGACAGGAAGATTACATATCACTTCCATAATGAAAATTGTTAGACTGGGTGAAATTATATTCTTGAGCTATATGTAGATCTGTCAGTTCAGTATGAATGACTCCTGGCTGTCTTACAAATAGAAAATTGTATAAAGGCCATTTTCACGTAACGTTGATCTCCAGATGACAGAGCAATCTGTTGTGATTCCTGCAGAGGAGCTGCTGCCACTGCTGCTGTGGGGGAGGGGAGGAAGTAGGTGGGAGGCCAGGAGAGTGAAAGGGGCGGAAAGAG